GGACTTTATTTAAAAGAGCCCAAACTCACTGCAGCAACCCAGATCAGCAGGAAAAGGAAATGGAGCATCTATACAACACATTCCAACTAAATGGATACCCATGCAACTTCATCAGAAAGTCCCTGACCACTCAACCCAATACAGCACAATCAACACAAACCCTAAAAAAAATTACACTGCCGTATATCAAAAATATCTCAGAAACCGCAAATAGACTACTACAACCACATGGAATCAATGTAGTACAGGGGTGTCAAACTGCTGGCCTGCAGGCCGGTTGCATCATGCGGAGGCCACGTTCACATCACGTGGCAAGTTTGACACCTGTGGTGTAGCACATAAGCCAACTGAAGTCCTTCAAAACATCCTAAGTAAACCTAAAGACCCAGCAACCCCAGAAGAAAAAACAGAAGTCATCTGCAACATACAATGTAAGAACTGCAACAACCACTATGAGGACCAACAGAAGACTGGCAGAACTCATCCATGAACACCAGGCAGTCAAAAGGCATGACAAAAATTCTTTAATTTTACAACATATAGACAGATTTAGCCACTGCTTTGGTAGTGGAGCACCTGGTTAGTATGGGTAGTTTTTCTGTAGACTTGTGTTTCTAGTTTGCCACTGTGGTCTCTGCTGATCAGGATGTCTAAGAAGGGTAGATAGTTACTGGCAGTCAAAAGGCATGATGAAAATTCTTTAATTTCACAACATATAGACAGATTTAACCGTAATTTCAATTGGGAAAATGTGACAATCCTAGAGCAGGCCAAATCCAAAAATGCCAGGGAATTTCTAGAAACCTGGCTCTCTGACAAATCAGCCATCAATAGGCACATAGACATTAGCATCATCTATAGATTATGCAAAAGAGACAATCAACCAGCCCCAAAGAGAAAAACCTCCAGCACCTCTCCACCAGTAATCATCACTCAGATCAGCATAGATTAACTCTAAGGTCACTTTCAGATCAACAATCAAGTAAGCAACACCCCAGTCAAGAAACTGCCACAGAACCATTAGTAAACAGCCCAACCAAAGAATCCCCTAAGACCACCTCCAGCCAACCAGACAGGCAAGACACCAGAATATAAACAGACAGCAAACAGCACTCCGTACTAGATATTACCTAGTTAGGGTATGAAACATCTGCAAGAAAACAAGCTCAGAGAGCACAAGGACCGCTGTACAGTTATTTTTCAGCACTCTATAACTTTGAATGGATGTTAAGCAAGGCAGTTGTAAGCGACAGCTACCTGTACATTTTCTAGCCTATAGGGCCTGATTAGGAGAAGTTCTAAGCAAACATTTTTCATTATTTTTTTTAAAAAAACAACATTTTTGAATGTAAAGTTTGAAAAGAGAAGTGTAGTCCAAGGCATATAATTCAAATAGACAGGGATGTGTTAGTTTTTCTGAAGTCTTATTCTTTATATATCTGCTGACTAAAGATGTTTGGGATGTTAAAATGAATGTTAAAAGTACAGGATGTGAAAGAGCATATGTTTCCTATGCAAAAGTAACAGAAGCTTTAAATAAATGTTTTATTTGAAAATGATGACTTTGCTGTAATTGGCCTTAAGATGTGACAATATTAATTACTGTATTAAGAGTAGAGAAGGAGAAACAAAAGGCAAATTTCATGCTTGGAATCATTAGGAAAAGAATTGAAAGTAGAACTGCTGATACAAAATGTCCGTATGCAAATTTGTGATGAGTTTATATTTGTTGTATATAGCTCTGACCGGTGCATCTTAAAAAGGATATTATAGAACTAGAAAATAATGGAAAGAAGAAGCAACCAGAATGATTAGATGTCTGAGCAGCTCCTCTGTGGGGTTAGACTACAGTCATTGGGGGTTTGGGACTGGAATGAAGATGGATAAGGGAGACAGTAACTGAGGCTTATGCAACCACACAGGACATACCGTACTTAACTTTGAGACAGGGAAGTTTTGACTCTAAAAAACATAGTATTAGAATTCAAGGTCATCTACTAAAACTAAATGCAGAGAGATAATGACCTTCATAAATAAATACTTTTTCACACATTATATAATTAAACTTTGTAATGTGTTATGATTGGTCATATAGGTTTTAAAATTTCCTGCAGAATCAGACCATTAATTATTATTGTGTACGTGTTTGTATGTGTATTTTTTAAGAATGTTGGTTATAATAGTAAAATCTAATACAAACTAAACTTAAGAGAATAGAAAGGAGTAAAAACTGCAAGAAAAAAAGTAAGAGAAAATTAAGATAATAAAGAAAAGAAAAAGAAATATACAGGCAGTCCTTAACTTACGACTGGTCACTTAATGATTGTTTGAAGTTACGATGGACTCAAATAAAGTTACTTAGGACCTATCTTCGAAGTTAAAACTGCTGTACCATCCCTGCAGCTATATGATCACACTTGATGGATAAAATGGGTTTATAGTTACAACCATGTGGTTCACTTATCCATCATAAAAACAGTCATAAAATCAAGTTTGGTGAAAATTGGTGCCTTGATTTATGACTGCAACGACTTACAACCAAAATTCCAGCCCCAATTGTGATAGTAAGTTAAAGATTATCTGTATGAAGAAGTGACTTCCAACTTTTATGACAAGTATAAACAAATTTAGTGACTCTTTACCCCCTCTGAAATTACAAATATTTATTTCTTCATTCCATATTTCATCTCTTTATTCATAAACCTCATCTTTTCAGTCCTGGTGTCAGCAGGAAATCCATAAAGAGTTGCCAGAAGTAAAAACATTTTATTTTAATTTTGATCAAATAAACCAACTTTATATTCCTTTCCTTTACTTCTAACAGTCCTGATCTTTAGTTCATTCAGATGTCATAGGATTTGATTTCTCTTCATCACATCTTTGTCCCATCACACAGACTTTTTCTAGGCTTTAAAACAAGTGTCTCTTGTAAATCCAGTGGGAAAAAAATAACCAGATTGTTCTCTTGGTTTGTCTTATGTCATGTACATGTCATTTCTTCAGTAACCTTCCTCAGAAGTCGTCTAATGATTACTACTATTGATGATTGTTTACTACTATTATCCCAGTTATATTCAGCATGCCTACTATATATTGGAGTCATCCTGGATTGGCGGGGCATATAAGCCATAGCAAAGAAATTATTTGTAAAAATAATAAAGGAATACAAATAAAATACTGTTGCTCGGAAATGACAGAGGAAAGGGTTATTTTCTTTCCATCTAAACTTGTGAACTTATCAGGTACATCCAATTGGTCATTGCATAACGTGGAATGCTGGCCTAAATAAATCATTAAATCTTATTTCCTGTTTTAGTAGGACTCTTCTAATGCCCTATTAAAGCCTAGAACTATAACTTTTGTCACTCTCTTGTTTGCCCCTTTATATTTGTTGATTTAAATTAAATTAAAATTTTGAAGTATTTGAGCTAATATTAAACAATTTCACATACTTGCAGTGCCTAATGATGAAATACAGATTCTCAGAATGAAGTTCCAAGCAATTTTAGAGATAATACTTCAGGGAGGAAGAATTTCTATTTTTGTTATAAGGTTGTAGGAAAGGATTGTGCAACCTTTTGGCCACAGGGACCACCATCATCCTTTTTTTTTGTGGGGGAGGAAATGCCATTGTAGAAAATTGTAACATCATAACATAGATAGGAGTGGGCAGTTGTTTTGAGCCTAAAGAAAATATGATTTTACTGCTTATTTTCCTCATGATGATGCCACCCTCAAAATGTAAATGTTGAGATTTATGAATAACAACCTCCTCAAAGATGGAGTATGTGTAGATTTTGTAACATTTCAAATTTTTATTTATCAAAATATAAAATACAGAAATACAATTTTTTTAAAAAAGAAAATAATAGGAAAATAGGGAAGGGGATGGGGATAGGAAAAAGAAAAAGTGTAGGGGAAAGGGGAAAAGAGACAGAAAAGCATAGATTTCCGACACTTTGGGGTCAGTAGAATAAGATAATAACACACAACCTCAACTTTTTTACTAATGGAGTATATGTAGATTTTGGCACACAGGTTGCACCCAAGTGATGATCCTAAATGTATTCAGTTGTATCAATGGAATTGTGATGTCTTTAATAATTGATCTTTGCTCAGATGTATTGTAAGTAACAATAGAGCAACTAAGGACTGTTTCATATCTATAGTTGTCATTAATAAGTTGTTGCACTTGCACAAACAATAATGGAGCCAATAATGACTCCATGTGTACATAACTGTACCAGTAAATATACCTCTGCATGAGTGCTACCTTTTTGTGAGTGAATTTTCTTATGTTCAAACTGACTATGAAATGAAGCATGTGCAAAAAGTGCCTGTAAAAGAAAGAAAACCAAGAGATCACAGTAATTCACTTATAAATAGATAACTTGAGTTGAGTTGTTTTAACATTCTGTTGTGCCATAGCCAATTAAGTAATCTTGTTTCTTGATGTGTAACTTCCATGATTTTACAAGACGTATAGCCTTGTAAGGTTTTCCTACTGTAAACTGTATCAGTGGTTGGGATTACTACATGATGTAAATATAAATAATAATACTATTAATACTATGATTTTGAAAATGTGTGGGCTGAAACTTGCTATTCTGCAAAAGACTGGCTGATATGAAATAGGAATAAAGAAATAAATAATTAGGATGCTAAGAAATGATTCATATATTTTACATTAATACCCTACTGAATTTATGTTTCAGAACAACTCTCAAACCTTAAACACAAAATTTAACAGAAATTTCTTTCAGCATAAAGAGTTTTATGGCATAGGCTCAGGCTAATCATAATATTTTGTTGTATCTTACAGTAGTTGTTTCGTATGAAAGGGAATCTATTACCATTTTGACCATAATTAAGTTAATTCTATGCATATACTCATATATTTAGTTTTTGAATGTTTATCTAATTGTACTAATCTATTATATTTTTAAAATTAAGCAGTTTGGAAAATTGAGTAATAATATATTATTATTATATTTTGTTAGCTGTCAAGTGCAAATCCAGTATATGAAAAATATTATCATCAGGTAAGTGTGGGCTTGTTTTCTTTGCTTTTATTTTAAAATAAAATAACTTCTCATTTGATTGTTGTGCTTAATTGCCTTAAATAGAATTTAAAAAAAACACTTTTGCAGTTTATAGAGTAAAACCAGCATTTTAAGTATGCTAAAAGTTAATTTTATATCTTAGCACAAAATCAAAGGACATTGGACTTTGTTTCATATCCAGAATAATTCCAATTCAAACTTTATAGTTGTTTAAGAGATTTGTTTGAATACAAAGTTTATCAGTACTAATGGTACTCCATGTCCCCGTGTCAAAAGAGATTGTTAAAGTTAAATATGCAAGAATTTTAAAAGAAAGATCTATTGCTTTGAGAATTATGCCTTTAAATGAGCAGAATGCAAACATTTAATTACAGTGAGCATAATATATAGAAATTTTGAGGTCTATAAAATCACAGAGAATGTAGATAATTATTTGAAAACTAGTTTGTGCAATGAGTCTATTCATATCCTGCTTACAGACTTTGCTATTCTTCAATTATATTTGCCCTTTCTTTGGATTTTAGAGCAAGGTTACCCTTTTCCCTTCCCTTCCCTTGACTTTTTTATTTGATTTCTTTACCATCCTAATCTAAGAGATTCTAGGTACTATACATAAAATTATAATTAAAACAGTTACAAATAATACTTCAGAATAATACAAAATTCAACAAAAATGATATTCTGCAAGTTCCTCTGTGGCGCATTTGACATCTGAAGACAATATTGAAAACCAAATTGATAGAAGCTAATGGCTTTCAAGATATCCAGTTTTCCATTTTTTATTATTTTAAGAAATGAGGCAGAAAGCTGGAGCATAACTAAGGTAGGTGACCTGTGAGATCAAATTGGGATCTCAGCCTTAAGAGTTATATCACTTTCATCTATGGAGATTATATAGATACTAGAATGTGAGGCATCTTGAAATAGAAAACTGTCTTGGAAGTGAGGGGTCCTTGGTGCTCTCTGAGCTTGGTTGTTTCTAGCACTGATAATGTTATCTAGTTTGGGAAATGAAACATATACAGGAAAACAACCAATATATATTTAGTATATTGACTCTAGGGCAGAAGTCCCCAACCCTTTTGGCACCAGGACTGGTTACATGGAGGTAGGTTTTTCCACAGATCTGAGGAGGCGTGGTTTTGTGTGTTGCCTACATCCTGTGGATGGGGCTTTCCTTGTTTGTGCAGACCAGTTGGTGGCATGCCGCGGCCCGGTACTGATCCACAGACCGGGGGTTGGTGACCCCTGCTCTAGGGCATGTAAAGTTTTAGAAGCAATTATAACATCTGGGAGCTGGATAGATGTGTTTGAACATTTATTTGTTAAAAGTTATTATAGATGTAACTTTTTGTAACTATATATGTACAATGCCATGATTTTAGCATACGGTATATATGGCTCTACAGTATTGTGCATGCAGCATAATTAAATATTCCATAATTTTTTACTCTATTTTCTGAGCTAATAAATTTTTTGTTAAAATTATATTTTTTAAAGATTTGCTTGTTTTAATTAGTTGTACGGCCTCTTTTGGCAGGTTGATCCTAGTAATTCTGGAAGAGTGTTGGCTTCTGATGCAGCTGTCTTTTTGAAAAAATCAGGACTAGCAGATTTGATACTTGGGAAGGTATTGATATCTTCAGATAAGGGGATAATAATGTATCTTGGCTTTTACGGAAATAAAAGCACTGTAACTTGCAGAATCTTTTACATTTCACAGATTGCGTTGTTATTGTAATTCTTATTGATATTATCTTATGCTGGTCTATGACTGAAATAAAGATTCAATTTGATCCTGCATATTATTGCTATTTTGTTAACAATTTGTTTTTGTGTTACATTCTGCATAGGAGTTATAGCTACATTTCTTTAACCATTTCTGTAATTAGTGGAACTTAATCTTTTATTTTTTTAATTTTTTTAATTAAATATGTATGTGTGTGTGTGTATATATATATATATATATATATATATATATATAATAAATTAAGTTCCACTGATTAAAGATACATATGTCTATATAAAATTATATTATTATAAAATGGAATTAATCAGAAGTTGTGGGGGCTCCAAATGGTTGTCCAATCTCTTTTAAGAAGAGATTGGACAACCATTTGTCTGAAATGGTATAGGGTTTCCTGCTTGAGCAAGGGTTGGATTAGAAGACATTCAAGGTCTCTTCCAACTCTGTTATTCTGCTGTTCTTGGAAAGTAATCATTTTAATTTTAAGTGGTTGAAGTGAATCCAATATTGGGTGTGTCCAGGAGTATTTAGTAGCTGCATATTGAAAATGAAATTACTTGATTAAATTGTATGAAAGATTTTCCAAGATTTAGCGTAATCTAAAGATTTTTAAATGCATAGAAAATATTTAATTTTTAAAGATATTCAAAAACTATAAAACCTGATTCAGATTGATTTCTAATAATTGTAATATTGTAATCTCTGTTAGCTAAGATTAAAAAGTTAAGCTGTATTAGTATTGAAACTATTGCCAGTAATAAATATAACATTTTAAAAAATAGATTGATAAGATGAATAGAAGAATTTTCTGGCATCACTTCACATGCTTCTTTTATCTAACTATATTTTAGGTTTGGGATCTTGCTGATACAGATGGCAAAGGTATCTTAAACAAACAGGTAAGACATATTTTCTTCTGTATATAAATACAGGTATGAAATAACAACAGAAAAAAGCATCTCTCAAAATAGTTTAAAGAGAGTTCCGTATCTGACTATAGTGTGAACATCTGTCTTTGTTTTATTAACAAGGTAGGGGAGCATGTGTAGAAAATAGCCTTGAAATTCTATATATATGTATGTATGTGTCTTTGATAATTTTGAATATTGGAATCCCAGGTATGGACATTTAAAGTCAATAAGATAAAAACAAAGAACTCCGGGATGTAAGGCAAAAGGTTTTTTTAAATTGCTGAGCTTTCGTTAACAACCTGTTAACATCATCAGAGCAAAGGGCTAAATGAACATACTCCCTTGTCATTTAGCCCTTTGCTCTGATGATGTTAACAGGTTGTTAACGAAAGCTCAACAATTAAAAAAAGCCTTTTGCCTTACATCCCGGAGTTCTTTGTTTTTATCTTATTGACTTTAAATGTATGTATGTATATATGTATTTATTTATTTAGCATATGGGCTAGCAATCTATATTAACAAATCACCTAGGTTAATAAAACACTATAAAATATAAATATGTTCAAATACTAATGTCTAGGCCATCTAAGCACTGAAGCACAGCATCGTTTATATTAAACAAAATCAGATACTGGACCAATATATGCCCTCAGCTTGCAGCCAGTCACAATGTGATCTATGGTTTGACATGGGGCCCCGCAGTCATACTGTCTGAAGGAAACTGTGGCCCCATTTATACAGAGAGTCCCAGCAGATGCTGTCTGAGGTGCAAATTCTATTCAGGATTGTCCATTGCTGACGTGGTAGTTAAAAGCCTGGCACCTTTTTGGGGGCGGGGGTTATTTACACGTATTAAAGTTGTTGGACATGTTGTGCGAGTGCTGGAGGGGACTTCCTGGATTTGAGTCTTCAAGCTGTACCTGTATTTGCTTCTTTGTAATCAAGTAGCATTTTTACTTTTCCCTCATCTTGTTTTTGTCACTCTGTGTATGTGTGTGCGCGCGCACATGTGCACGTGCATGCATAGCTTGGAAGCACAAATAAGTTGCCTACATTCTGCTGTGAGTCACATAACCAGGAGGGAGCAGGCATAGATTGGAGCAGACAGCAAACTTCTGAGAAATTACTTAATTGCCTCTGGCAGGAATGCACTGGGGATAGAAGGTGTGGAATATTTTGGCCTCTGCTTGGCCACTGCCTTACATAGGACACTCACCTTAATGACCCTTGACCTGATTCAGCAGAACTCTTACAAAATAGAAGATAGACAAAGATGCAAATAGAATTTCTCATTAAGTCTACACTCCTTGTTATATTAAGTCTAATAGATGGGAGCAAAATACATTGGGTATTGTATATCATTAAAAGTCTCTTAGACAAAAGAGAAAGACTACAAATGACAGAATAATAAATTATACAATTAAGCCTTTTGGGAAATGTGCACTGTTTCTCATAGTGTAGCATACAAAAGTTTATAAAAAGACAAGAAATCCTATTAATTACATGAGCCCTCTGTGTGCTTCCCTCTTCCAATTTATACTTTAAAAACTGTTTAGGGAACAAATCACATTATTTTGCTAACAAAGTAGTTTGAAAAACAAGGACAAACTTCAGTTCATATCAATGCACAATGCAGTGCAAAAAAAATTTTAAAAAAATATTTGATGTTTGAGATTTGAATTAACCATGCATTGTCTATAAAACTGTTTTATGTTACTTTTTTTTTTCCTTTATAGGAATTTTTTGTGGCTTTAAGACTTGTAGCCTGTGCACAGAATGGATTGGATGTTTCGCTGAGTAGTCTTAACCTGCCTGTTCCTCCACCTAGATTTGTAAGACACTTTAAAAAATGAGTTAATCCATTACAGTACAACAGAAGGCTGTTCACTGATTTGCATAGCATGCACTCTCAACAACGTAAACATTGTTATGTAATTATATTTGCCTGGATTTTGCCTTAATTATTTAGTGATGGAAGATTTTTGTTTCAAATGTTTATTTTATTCAAAAAAAGTTTAAAACTCCAAAAGATTAAAAAGAAACAAACAAAAACACATAGCAATAAGACATTTAAAAAATGCATTGGGAAAAAAGAAATACTAACACCTATATACATGTTATCCCCACTAGTTGAATACTGATTGATACATTACTACCATATTAATTTACCAACCTCTGCAAAATAGGCTCAAAATATTTTTAAACTACTAAAACTATTTGCAAATTACTAACATGTCATCTATATACTATATTAATGACAAAACGGTTAATAGGAAGAACAATAATGATAAAAAAGACAAGGTAAAAGTTTCAAAAACCTCTGTTAACAACTGTTATTGTAACCAGCTTATAGAAAATTTTGTCATGTTATCATCCCAAAAGTTAACAGTAATTCATCCTGGATCAAATATCCACATTTGTTTTTTAATTTAATCTCTTATCAAACTTTTGAGGTTGAAACTAGTTCTACTCAGCACTACTGCTGGTCAGACCAGGCAAATCACTACATATCACTACATATATTATTAGTGTAAATATCTGCTACCCTCTCTGCCCAATTTTTTTAATTTTCTGGATTTATTAATTATTTTATATCACTGTTGTATAGCTTTTTACTCTATGCTCTCCAGAGTCATGAGATGGCCAGTCATATAAATATGAATGAATGAATGAATACATATATGCAGAATATGTGCAGTCTCAAGGTTGGAAAAAGGATGAGCAAAATTGTTTGATCTGAAAAAGTGATTTAAACCCTGCGTCAGATAGTGTTTGATTCTTATGTTCCACATAATTATGTGTAATTATTATCCATTCTTCTCCGCAGTAAAAAGTTAATCTAATAGTATTACAATTTTGAAATTTCAGCAAGTATCTAGTTCCTAAATTTAAGGTTGTATTTCAAGAAGTATAAAGAATTTTGATTATACATGTCCCAAAATCTATACTTCGGACATTGCTTATGTACATGGCTGTTTTTCCATGGAATTCTTTTCTAGTTATTCAGCGAGTTTTTGCACAATTTCTCTTTTCTGTGAACTCTTGCATTAGTTGATTTCTAGGAATTTATTTTTTCTAATGTCAGAAAAATGGCTGGTTTTCTTATTAGAGGGTTTTGTTCACAGCAGTTTATCTTTAGAATGTGTTGTATATCATGGCTGAATTATTAATTGGTAGTTACCACTTATCCACCAAATTTCTCCATTCTCTGTACCAGAGCAATTCTGGGATTCTGTCTTCTTCAGATTATAATCTTAATTCTGTACTTTCCAGTTCTTGTAGCTATTGCGAGAAACCATCATTATGTCAAATTACCAAAGTTCATAACTGTCAGATAATGTCCCATCTTTCTCATGCATATTAAATAAATAAGACATTTGGGAGGATGATTTTTTCTATACTATAGCTTGGTTAATGACAGGTGGCATGCTTAACTCTTTAATAATTGAAAATAATCCTAGCAGCCCATTAAGAATGATCCAAACACCTGCCAGTAATAACCTGGGATGACTGGTTTACAATGTGTGTATATATATAGTTTAGGAGAGAAAGATAATTCATTTAAATCTTTGAATTCTTTTCTTGTGACAGGACCGAAAGAGGTATTTGTGAGTAGAAATAAATGGTGGCATTGAATGTGAAAAAACAGATTTATAACAAGCAATTCAGATAACCCAAAATAGATTTTTAAAAACATCTTTTTATTTTATTTTCTATTAGAATGATTCCACAAGTCCATTATTATGTGGGGGAGCTCCACCTGATATCCCTTGGGCTGTTAAGGTAAATGAATTAATTGCGCTACAGCAAATGATCTCAGTGAATGTGCTTCATGGTATTGGATTCTTTCTAGAAAAAGTTTTCCACTTTCCTTGTTCTACCCCACTTTTCCAGAATAAAAGCCAGTTTGGTATAGTGGTTAAGGTGCTGATCTAGAAATCAGAAGACTGTGAGTCCTGCCTTAGGCATGAACAACAGATGGATGACTCTGGTCCAGTTATTCTCTCTCAGCTCACCTTCTCCACAGGTTTCCTGTTGTTGTGGGGAAAGTTGAACAGCTTATAAAGTAATAAAGGAGTGATAAAAAACAAATAAAATATATTTAATTGAGAAAACAGGTTTCTTTTTTATGATGGTGCCTTGCTATATTGTGATTTGGTAACTAAGCATAAAACCATAACCATTTCACATATATTGGATACCTGGAAATGGGAGGGGGGTTGCTTAGTTCTTGAGCATATATGAAGGCATACAGCAGATATGGACTGCTATGTAACCCAGTCTTAAAAATATAGTTTCCTTGAATAAAAACTAAGTTATGTAACCCCTTAATTTCTGGCCTTGATTATGACTTCCAAGCTGCTATTCCACTGCCAAAATAATTCACTTTCTTGTCCCTGTATTCATAGACATCCCACCATAAATTCCTACACTTTCTTCCTGCTTATTTCCAGCATAGGGTCCTTATAATTATTGTCCAGGTACTTTAATGGTCTTGTCATTATTGATGTCTGCATTCATATCTCATTACCTTAATATCTTGACCTTTTCTTCTCCCAGCTTTATACAAGTAGTCCTCGACTTAACAATAGTTCATTTAGCAATGGTTCGAAGTTACAACGGCACTGAAAACAGTGACTTATTGTCATTTTTTACGCTTAAGACCATTACAGTCATGTGATTAAAATTCAGTCAGTTGGCAACTGACTCATATTTATGGTGGTTGCAGTGCCCTGGAGTCATCGTGTACTCCTCTTTTGCAACCTTCCGACAAGCAAAGTCAATGGGGAAGCTAGATACACTTAAGAGCCGTGTGACTAACTTAACTCCTGAAGTGATTCACTTAACAACTGTGGCAAGAAAAGTCATAAAATGGAGCATAACTCACTTAACCAATGTCTCACTTAGCAACAGAAATGTTGGGCTCAATTGAGGTTGTCAGTCAATGGACCACCTGCGGATCTTACCTTTTGAAAGATTCGTTGATATCTTCAGTAACTCTGCTTTTTTTCTCCTTATGATACAGACTCATTCCAAATCAATTTTAGGTCCCAATGTATGTCATTTCTCTTTAAATACAACTTGAGGCCCCTGTCTTTTCTGTGACACAATCTCCTTTTGATAGCAGAATTGCAGTCGATCTCTTGTTTACAATGTCCTTTCCTTTTTTCTTTTTCCCTTCTGTTGCCTTCTGTCAAATGGGTCTGAATCTCCCAATAGCAGTATTTATTTCAATATATTTCTAAAGCATAACGCTTATTAATAATGCTGTCATTAAACTTGGGTGGTGAATGCCACAAAAGAAGGAACCAAAGCAGGGATTCAGAAAAACAAGGGAGTCTCTGCTATATTCCGGAAGACTGAAGTGTTTAGCTCTTTGAGCATACCTAGTAGTGATGGTATGTTGATCGATGGACAGAAAAGAGAAAACGGAAAGATAAGAGGTAGGAAATGGAATAATCTGTTGGAACTGGCACCCTGCTTTTAGGAGACGGAAGTATGTTATAGCACCACATTGTAGGTTCTATTTCTTCCCCACCTGGCATCGAATCTGTGCAATCCTATACTGGAAATAGTAAGGAGTGAGGCAATGATTTCTGTGTATTTTACACATTCTTTAGGTATGCAGTAATGTGTTCATTTATAATTTTAAAAAATCCAAAATAGTTCATTGAGACCATCCCCTGCCTTTCAGATGTGGAATGTTGGCCACTGGGGAAAGAGAAAAGAATGTCTGATCCTAATCCCAGGTTGAGACATTATAATTAGATAAAAGTAATTTCTGCTGTGGTTTCAAGAAAAAAAAATAAAAAATACATATCTGCACATCTGCACTGTGGCTGTTTAATCAGTTTTTTATAGCTTGTAAGCCCAATAAATGAATATTTTAGGGGGAAATGCTTTACTTATAGTTTTCTTCAGAAACAATAAAATCTCGTACGTAAATAAATAGGGCTTACTGTATTTGGCCTATCTGATGTTTACAATTATATTGTTTCAAAGCACTCATACAAAATTTCAAGCAAAATCTCTAAGAACAGGCCCTCTGATTTCTTCTCTTGCTGTCCTGTTTTCATTTCCTCTAATTCTTTTGAAACTGCTTTTGTTTGTCAGACTTGATTAGATTTCCTAGAAAGGGTGACTGTACTTTTTTTTAATAACATGTTCCTGAATTTTTGCATGTGCCAAGTGTTGTAAATTAAGTATAGCGTCTTATTATCTTTATAACCAGATAGAAGACAAGGCCAAGTATGATGCCATTTTTGACAGCCTGAATCCAGTTAATGGATTATTGTCCGGTGATAAAGTGAAACCTGTTCTCTTAAACTCCAAACTACCAGTTGATGTCTTGGGAAGGGTAAGAACAACAAATAATTTTGCAAACCGTAATATTTGTCCTGTGGAATTCTATGGTTAAAGTTGAAGAAAAGTACAATCGTCCCTCCACTCCCATTATTCACAGCTGCCTAAGGAGAGTCACTAAAAGGGCGGGTGCTTGCAGATTGCTGGTTTCTCACAAGAACAGCTTTAAGGAGGTTTGGGGTAGAAAGATTAGTACTAGCAATTGGGCCCAAGATTGCCGGTTTCTAGCAATCGTGCACAGAGTATGGATAGCCCTTGGTTAACAACCACAGTTGGGACTGTCAGCTTGATCATTAAGGAAGACTTCACATAATGTTGATAGACTTATGACCTCACTTCCACCGCAGTCATTAAGTGAATCACCCATGGTTGTTAAGCAAGATCTCATGTGACCACGACTTGTGATTTTACTGTTGGTTTCCCCATTGACTCGCCATTTGCATGTTTCACAGCCAGCTTCAGACGCGAAGCCGGCTGTGAAGCATGCAAATTGCGATCACATGACTGTTGGCTGCTGTGACAGTTATAAATGCCTGCAAATTGCAAAGTTCTCAAATCTTGATCACATGACTGTTGGAACACTGCAACAGTTTTAAGTGTGAAGTTGTTCCTTGCTTTCCCCTTAGGTAGCTGATCTCTCTAAATCATTAAGAATTGTTAAGGCCGTGCATTAACAGGAGAGTCAGTTTGGTGCAGTGGTTAAGGCATCAGACTAGAAACCAGGAGATCATGAGTTCTAATCCCACTTTAGGCATAAAACCTGTTGGGTGTCATTGGGCCATTCAGTCTCACACAGTCCTAGGAAGGAGGAAATGGCAAGCCCCTTCTAAAAACCTTGCCAAGAAAACTTCAGGGACTTGTCCAGGTAGATTCCAGGAGTTAAGATGGACTCAAAGGATCCCTCCTCCAAATGCATTCTTTAGGAAATATTATTTTTTTGTCTTAAAACTATATATTTCTCCTCCAACCATAAAATGAAATTTTCTAACGATGTATCTAATAAAGATTTGTTGACATACTGTGTAGCCTTAATCTCAAAGATTTCGCTTTCATGCATATGTTGTACACATGTTACAAGTCAGAATAAGGGTGTTGGCTCTCCAGATATAGAATTATAATGTGAACCACTGTGCTGCTAAATATTTCTCCTGCCAGTCACATGAATTATATTTCAGCAACATGTGGAGATTCAAATGTGATTAAACAAAACAAAACATCTTTTTCTCAATAAGAATGACATTTTTAGTACTTTTATTATTACATAAATGGCATAAAAATTGCTCATCTATATTAAAATGAAAATGAGTTTCTTTAAATTACTTTCAGGAATAGGCAAATAGCATATCGGAAACAAACTTTCTACCTTGTATTTTCTTTGAAAATATTTTATAGGGAGAAAAAAGGGAGGGTCTTTTGATGGACAGAAACATTTCTGACCTTGTTAATTTTCACCTGCTCCTGATTTCAGCTTTAATTGGATATTGTGATGTGGGAACAATATGAAATGTATGGTTTGGTCTTGAAATGAATAATTTATCTCTAATAATAAAGGGGTTGGTAGGGTACTATGCCAGCAGTTTGAATATTTCTTAATGCCATAAAATATAATAATGAATATATGATAAAAGTTAAGGTATTTGCCTTTAAGTTTAATTTTAATCTTTAACCTCTTAAAAACTACTTGATAACTGGTGCTGAGAATATGTCACATTGACATATGTATGATCTTTTAAAAATGAAAAGAAAGCAAATGTTATTTGATAATTGACAGTAATTTGAAAATGTAAAATATCTTGCGATGGGCTTTTTGTTGTTAGGTTTGGGAGTTAAGTGATATTGATCACGATGGAATGTTGGATCGGGATGAATTTGCTGTTGTAAGTATAAATTTATACATTACAAAATTTTGAAACAGTGTTTAAAATAGTTTAAAAGGGCATAATGTAGTATTTCTTGTTGCATATAATTTTTTGGGAGGAAGAGCTACTAAGGGATCTTAAAAATGTAAATTCCAACAGTGATGGTTCTTTAAAAAGTGCAATTTTTTATCTTTTATCTAATGTGATATTGTTTTCCCATTACATGATGCCTCCATAAAGTATTTGTTCAATTGGATATGGCTTCTACTTTTCAGAAGAGTTTTTTGAATGCTTATTGTGCACATTGGTTAAAATCCTTTCCCAGAAGGTGCAGATTTACTATTTAAAGCACGTTCTTCGGTATTCATTTTATTTACAAAGCCAGTTTCCTTGTTAATAACATATATAATGTTCTAAGCTAACAGAAGGATATGAATGTAAAATTACACAGATATAGTGCGTATTTAACCTATATATAATTCTACTTATTTTGCTATACCATATAAGACTTTTAAGTTGTGTTCTATGCAATTGTGTCCAAGGGTCCTGGAGGGGTATTTCAGGATTTTCTGCTCTCACACATTCTGTTTAACATCTACATGAGGTTGCTGATGGCCCATTGGTTTGGGATCATCAATATGTGGAATATACTCAAATAAAGTTTCTCAATCTCAGACTGACCAGGTAATACTGCCAAGGTCAAGTCAGTCCTGACAAGACTGTGATTGTGTTTTTTGACACCTCTTGTTCCCAGTGCTAAGGATATTTCATATGTAATCTTGAATGGGCGGTCCTTTTACCCTTTGGAACTGGTGCCTAGTTAAGGAGTTGTCCTGAATTTATAGCTTCTGCTCAGAGAAAAGGTGGCAGCTGCGATTAAGAAGACCCTTGCACAAATCTATCTAGTCAGCCAATCACACTAGGGGTCTTCAAACCTGGCCCTTTTGTGACTTGTGGACTTCAACTCCCAGAATTCTTCAGCCAACGTGCCTGGTTTGAAGACCCCTGAATTATACCTTTATATGGACTGTAAGGCACTTCAGACACTCATGCTTTATTCACCTCATTAGTATAAAGTACTCTATATGATGCTGGCCTTGAAAAACAGTCAGAAGCTGCAACAGGTCCAGCATGTAGCAGCACAACCAATTATGGGCATGTCTCATCTTGTCTGCGCAATACTTTTGCTCCATGAGCTGCACTGGTTATCATTAGGCTTCTGGGTGCAATTCAAGGTGCTGATTAAAATTAAAATTTGATTCTTCCCTCAGCTTTGGGTTTGAATGAATAGCAGGTACCCATGTATGTTAGGGTTGTTTTTTAATATGCTGCTCGCACTTGTTATAGAATTGAACAGCATTATAAATTTAATAAAATAAAAAAATGTCTAGTTTCTCTGCTTTTTTGCTTTACTATAATTTTAAATATAGTAGATGAACAGAAGAGCAGCTAAGAGGAAAGTCGAAAACATTTAAGAGTTTTGTCTAGCTCAATTACTGCATTCTATGAGTTTGCATAATAAGAAACTAATGTTCGGTTCATGTCTTTGACCACTTCAAAAACGTTTATTCAGGCCATGTTCTTGGTATACTGCGCTCTTGAGAAGGAACCTGTGCCAATGTCCTTACCTCCAGCGTTGGTGCCACCATCTAAAAGAAAAGGTATCAGCATTCCAGGTGTTGGGCAGTCAGTGCCACCTTCAACACCCAACAAAGAGGGTAATCAGTCCATGTTACCTGTCAGCCTGTTACCATCCACATCATCAGTAACACAGGTACTTTTGACAAAGAGTAATGTTTTATAATAATAATAATAATAATGATAAAAGTTGGAAGGGACCTCGGAGGTCATCTAGTCCAGCCTCCTGCTCAGGCAGGAAACCCTATACCATTTCGGACAAATGGCTGTCCAGTTTCTTCTTAAAAACTTCCAGTGTTGGCGCATTCACCGCTTCTGGAGGCAGGTTGTTCCACTGGTTAATTGTTCTAACTGTCAGGAAGTTTCTCCTTAGTTCTAGGTTGCTTCTCTCCTTGATTAGTTTCCATCCGTTGCTTCTTGTNCATCTTTTTTACATCGTGGTGACCAAAACTGGATGCAGTATTCCAAGTGTGGCCTTACCAAGGCATTGTAAAGTGGTATTAACACTTCACGTGATCTTGATTCTATCCCTCTGTTAATGCAGCCTAGCACTGTGTTGGCTTTTTTGGCAGCTGCAGCACACTGCTGGCTCATATTTAAATGATTGTCCACTAGGACTCCGAGGTCGCTCTCGCAGTTACTGTTGGGTTCACAAAGTGTAATTGAAATGTAAAACTTAGTTATTGCTTTACTTTGTAGTGGGTTGTATCACCTGCAGACAGGATAAAATATCATGAAATCTTCCTGAAAACAGACATGGACATGGATGGCTTTGTCTCTGGGGTGGAAGCTAGAGAATTATTCTTGAAAACTGGTTTGCCTTCAGCTCTACTTGCACACATCTGGTAAGAGTTTTCCCAGCATTTCTTGAAAAGAATAAAATAATCTAATTTCTTTAAAATTGATGAAAAATAACTGGTTAATCTAAATTTGGAATTTACCATTGTTTTTCTACATGCTTGTATTCAATTGTGCACTCTAACCCGAGTTATTATATTTTTTAAGAATTGAAATAATTACTTTTGATGCTTTTTCTAAAGTGTATCCTAAATTATGATATAAAGTATATGTTTAATGTCACTCTTCTTGGTGCCAATATGAAGATTTTATCACTTTAGGTTCTAAACAGAGAACATTTTTTTAAGAAAAAATTAAAGATGAAAGACCTTGTATAGAATAGACTTAGAGCCAAGTGGCATAAAATGCAATAATAAATATGTTACCTGCTTCAAATTGTACACTAAAAATACTTAGCTTAGTTATATTAGATTGCTCTATCTTTTCTTTTTTCTTTGAATCAAACATTCCCAAGTCGAGTCATTCTAAAATATAATGTCATTTATTAATTAGAGGCTTATTATGATGTGTGAACTCAGGTATTATGAGCAAATGGAATGCAATATGTATGACTAGATTTCAAAAGTAAAGAGCTTTGTAGTGACAGTCTTTTAGTACAATCTTTATTCTGTTTTTAGACCATTTTAGAGTTATAATGCTTTCTGAAATGTTACTCCAGTTGGTGAACTTTTAAAATAAATGGGGTTTTTTAGTTGTCTCTTAATATTTTATTTATTTCAGTTAAATAAGATATATTTTAATGTAATATAAAATAAAGTTAAATAATAGTAGGCTTAGACTTAACAGCTTAATGTTGCCTAGATGCATAGGAATACATCTCCCCTTATTTTTAACTAGTGTGACTGAAAGTTAGGTTGGAGAAAGATAACACCTTTCCTTGTAAAAATTGTAGTGTTGGGTCAAAGCAAGATATGTCTAATCCCAGATTATTTTTTTGTACAGAAAATAGCCAGTTATTTTGAAAGTTTTCTAACTGGGCAGGAAGGTGATGCCTATCCACATATATTGGCCATTCCATATTTTCTGCTGCTGCTATTCTGTGCAATAATGTGTGAACTATTGTATATCTGTAAAACCTTTTAAAGTATACATAGTGACATAATGTTACAGAATTGTTTTAATCATTGAACATAAGTAATTTTTAATCTAGACAGCATATCCATGCTATGAGACATTTCATTAGTCATTTTCTTTCTTCAATGGATTTTACAGGGCTCTTTGTGACACAAAGGATTGTGGGAAGCTTTCCAAGGAACAATTTGCTTTGGCCTTCCATTTAATCAATCAGAAGCTGACAAAGGGCATTGATCCTCCTCAGGTGCTAACTACAGACATGATTCCTCCATCAGAGAGAACTGCTTCACAAAATGTGAGATTTGGAACATTTCATAAAATGTGATAAAGATTGGGAGTCTGGATAAAATATCGTACTATGTGTTTGAACTTGGTATCTCGGATAATAGTAGATATAGAAACTGATTAACAGGAACACACAAACTCTGCTCATATTATCTATAAACCTTCCTTCATCTCACTAGCCAACCAAGCAGATACAAGTTGTTTGTTTAAAATAAAACGATACATTATTAGAAAATGGATCTATGGCTTTTGCAAGCTTAAAATTGCTTTATTGAGTGCTGTTATATCTTCCTGTTCATATTTTAGAGCTGATAACAATTCAGTTCAAATACCAGGTGGATTAAGTGCTAATAAATTACTAGAGTCAATTCCATGTGCAGTAAAGCATGCATGCAGATGTGTTCTCAACATTGCAGTCAGTGGAAAAGGCAAATAACATATTTCTGCTATATATTATGCAAGAAGCATCAAATCATAAATTTCTGATCTCTTTTATGAAGTATATTTATTGAAAAAATTCCATGATTCCTAAGATGTTTATTTTAACAAGGACATACTGAAATAATTTCAGAATAAGCAGGGTAAATTTATATGTTGTGTACTTTTGTGGCATTGTGCCATTTTAAACAATATCTACCCAATAAAAAAACAAAATGCTAAAGTTCTCCTGGTTTGATAATTGAGCTTCTTCTTGGTTGTGCTAAGCCATATTACTCAAAATAAACTGAACTCCTTATCAGAAATTACACTCAAAAGTTCTTCATTTTGTTTGACTTCTACAATACCAGATTTATTTTTGTTTATTTTGAAAAAAATTGCTTTTATTTCTTGCTTTACTAATCTTTTTATATGTTTGCTTTCCTCCTATGTCTTTCCTAGTTTGGACTATATTTTCCATTCTGCACCATTCTGCTTTGCATCTTTATTATACTGTCAGTTTCTTAAATCTGCCATCGCAAGGTTAGAGATTCTTCACTTTTCCAATATTGATTGTTTAGTAATGAACATCTTTTTCACATCACACATTTTCTTTTTAAACAGCAGAGTGTTGCTTAAATTTCTGAAAGAGCTGTGCTATTCTCACATCACTGTTCTTACTTCAGGATGCTGCATGTATTTCCAAAATTGACAGAATAATGTGCTGTATACTTGATGCCTGCTGACAACAACAACATGTTTTATAAATATTTATATTTTTTTCACAGTTGTTTGGGCTTAAATATATGCCCTGAATTTGAGATGCATACCTCAGTTGAATATTTAATTTTATTATCAGACAATACATGAATTGTGAAGTCTTAACACAGACGAGTAATATCACATATATATGAACACACTAAGCCTTAAGCTATAATGAGGCTGTAATTATGCTGTTGATAGTTGCAGAAAGATTTAAACCTGAAATATGAAAAATAAAAATGAATGACCATGCACCTTTAAAAAGGTGATTCTACAAGCAGAAGTCTTTCTTCATTGAAAATTAGGCTTTGTCCCTTTGCTTCACATTCTTAAAGGGAAATAAATATCACATATCCTTGTGTCTTTGGTGCAATGAATTATATGTATTAACAAGTGCAACTATGTGGCTTACTATTGCAAGTTCAGAAATATGACAAAAATTCTCAGCTGAGAGAAAACAATTATCAAGGAGAATTCATTGCCAATAAATGAGTCAGTATAGGTATTATGGAAAACTGTTGAAGCATACACATTTATATCTATGTAGTAGATATAAATGTAGACTAGTAGATATAAATATAGACTAGTCCAAATCTGGATATTTTATGGTCCCTAGGCCACAGCCAGCCCTTTGGCTGTCTCTGTCCGGCCTGCATGAAGTCAGTTGGAAATTGGAAATCAAATGTTTCATAAGTACGCCACGGGGTGGGAGAATAAGTCAAGTCGGATCCAGCTCTGCACATTGCTTTGCAGTCCTTCAGTCAGCTGGCCAGCTGCAGGAGGGCGAGAAGAGAAAGTGCTTTTCTGTACTGTGCAGCACTCCCCTCTGGAGAAATCTGAGGAGGTGGAGGTAGTCATTGCATGAGAAGACCTGAGCTTGGCCACCCACTGCCGCCTTGGTCAAAGCACATCTTTGGAGGCACAGCTGAGAGCTCTTGGTTCAGCCTTCCACATCAGCCCCAGTTTTTCATGTGGCTCCTTGGGAAAATTAATTGTCCACCCCTGGACTAGTCTGTTTGATTGCTATGTTATATAGTTTTATCATCTCAAAAACTGATGAAATCAAAGGAAACTCAACTTAGCCTTTGAAGCTCACCTTCTGTTTGGAGCTTATGGAAGAGTAAGCTTTACGTTTGGAGTTTTTTTTTTAAAAAAAAATAGGCTGTACATTTTCTTTGATCTTAAATTAGAAGCCAGTTAATTTTTCCCCACCAAGACAATCAGAGTATTTGTTCTGGAGGCAAGTAGAATCAGGCCACATTTCCTTGTTTATTTTTCAGAATTTACCACGGCCAAATTCTATAGCAGATTTTTCCGCAATCAAAGAGTTAGATTCCTTAAGCAATGAAATAATTGACCTTCAAAGGTAAGTCAAAGAAATGTACACTTCAATTATAGTGATTTTTTAATATTTGTTTTATTATTTAGATTTATAAGAGCTGCTCCATGGAGCATAGATTGGGGGAAAAGCCAATTTTTTAAAGACTGTCTAAAAATGTGTACTTTTGATGCAGTCCAAAACTCTGATCAAAGTGGGTTATTCCATAGAGATGGCACCATGCAGAGGGGACATGAAATATGCCTGCTTTGTCAGATCCTCCAGGATAGACAGAAGTAAGGAGAGAGATGTGGTCCCTCAGATAGCCAGGTCCTATGCTATGAACAGCTCTACAGGTGATAAGTAGCATCTTTAATTGCAACCAGAAGCGTATTGATAACCAGCGCAGCTCATGCAGCAGAGGTGTTACGTGGTTGTATTGAATTTTGTCCATAACTATTCACATGGTTGCATTTTGGACCACCTGCACCTTCCGAGTGAACTTCAAGGGGACCCTCATGTTGAGCACATTGCAATAGTCACACCTAAAGTGATCAAGGTATGAATGACTGTGAGAAGACTCCAGTCCCTGAAACAGCTCAGTTGGCACACCAGATGACTCTGCAAAGGCCCTCTTGACACAACTGCCACTTGCTTATGGATAGGAGTTGTGAACCTAGAAAAAAGGCCCACATTACGCACCAGCTTGGTATGAGGGAGAACCATTCAGATCAGCAATTGAAAATCACCAGCATCAAGCGAACAATGTACTGTACCTATAGCCACTTATTCTTTTAAGGGTGAGTTTGAGCTTATTCTTTTAAGTGTTCTTCCCTATCCAGTCTTCCCTATCAATCTTCAAGCACTGGGATATTACTTGGATTGCATTATTTGGTTAACTAAGGCTCAAAATATACATCTGAGTATCACTATACTGTTGGTACCTGACCCATTGTCAATAGATTACCTCACTAGACACTTTCATGCAGACGTTAAATATTTATCTTACTATGGTATCTGATTCTGAAATGTATAACAAAAGCTTTTATACAGCAACTGGGTTGATTCATAAACTGTTTAAATTCCTGAGCTGTGTCTTTTCCAAAAGTATTTGGATTATCTGGAACAATTTGTACTTCTTGGCACTATATTCAAATTAAGCATTTCTTCTGTGGATTATTTGATCCAGATGCTATTGCTGCTTGAAGTTCCAATGCCATTAGACATTCTAGAGGGATTAACTGCAGCTCCTGGCTCCTAAACCAGTAATCCTGCTTTGAAGGATGTTGATGAAATTGATACTACTTATTCATGTGTCCTTTGAAATAATGAATGGGAATATCTTGTCCTGATAAACAATTGGAACATTGCAGTATACAAAATGAAATTAGTTTCTGTAATTTTAGAATTGAGATTTAGGTAACAACAACAATGAAATGCTTTATGTGTTTTTGAAGCCTCAGATTGTTCAAATTTTTTTTAGTTAAAATTAGTCTGCTCTTGAAGATACACAGTGCAATCAGAAAGTGTTGAAATTCATTTTTTTTTCTCATTAATCTACCCTCAGTATCCCATAATGACAAAGTGAAAACAGACTTTTAGAAATGTCTGTAAATTTATTAAAAAGAAAAAACTGAAATATCACATTGGTATAAGTATCCAGACCCTTCACTTAGTACTTTGTTGAAGCACCTTTGGCAGCCTGGAGTCTTTTTGGGCATGATGCAACAAGCTCTTGGTCACCTCTCTTACTAAGGCCCTTCTCCCCCAATTGCTCAGTTACTGGGCAACCAGCTCTTGGAAGAGTCCTGGTTGTGCCAAACTTCTTCCATCTGAGCATTATGGAGGCCACTGTGCTCTTAAGAACCATCAGTGCAGCAGAAATTTTATTGTAGCCTTCCCTAGATCTGTGCCTTGCAGATTAATGAGAAAAAAAATGAATTTCAATAACTGTAGAATCAGGCTGTAGTATAACAAAATTGACAAAAATGAAGGGGGTCTGAATACTTTATCTGAATGCACTGTATCTTAGGAATTAGAGGATTAATCCATACAATCTGGTCTGGCCCTACTGTTGCATTTTGGGTTGGCAGCAGCAGAATTGCTAATATGACTCTGGATCATTTCTGTATTAAAAATATGCATGTTCTTCTTAGCTGTGATCCTCATATTTGGAATCTACCCAGCAATGTTAATTTTTATGGCATGAGGATTGGCTAAATGAATGTTTATAAAATACAGAAGAAGAAGACTGTCTGATTTGAAACACTAGACTGTTGACTGGTGTGTATGTGTAGTATTTTAATCTTTCTCATTTTTCAGAAAATTTGAACAATTGAAAAAAGATTGGGGATACTCTGCTGGATTTTAAAGATCCATTAAAACTGTTTTTTTTTTCAGTAGGCCTTAGGGGCAAAAGTGCTATGGAAAATTCCCTCATATGATTTAGCATTTTGTTGGAAATGGATTTATTTTGTCAATTAAGTAATCATTTGACCCTAATATATTCTTGTATCATTGGTGCCCTTTTACAGATGCCTGCTTGCTTCTATTTAGCTAAGCAGTTAAGACAACCTTCATGCCTTGGATGACCTTGGTGAGAGTATATACTCTTAGTGTGTACTCCGAGCATTATTTGCTCATCCCTTCAGTGAATACACCACCACCACAATGAGGCAGCAAGGCAGACTTTGGAGAGGATTCTCTGTAGCATTAAATCAAAATGTATTTTTACCATGATTTGCAGTGTTTTATCACCACTTCTTATTCTGATACGTAGATGTTCTCCTAAATACTTTGGGGACAGTAACTTGTTTTTTAAAATATGGATTTTGGTGTTTTGTTTTGTTTTTGAAGTATGAATTTTTTTAATGAAGTGTTTGATTCTGTGTGCATTATTTTGTATTTGGGAGGTGGGTGGAGGAGAGAAAGATTTTGGGAAACTATTATTTCACCCATTTTATTGACTTTTTGTTTTGGGCATGTATACTGGTGAAATGTGTATGAACAAATTCATGAAGCTTTTTAGGCAACATCTTAGGACACATTTCCCTTCTTTGGGCACTGAGATATTACTTGGACTGCATTACCTGGTTGACTAGGGGGAAGAGGATGATTGGCCCAATGTCATCTGGTTGGCTTCTGTGCCTAAGGCTGGATTAGAACTCTGGTTTTCTTACTCCTAGTCCATTGCCTTAACTACTAGGCCAAACTGGCATTATTGTTGTACATTAAAATGATATATCAGTCCCAGCAAATAAATTTGGTTAGCACTTTATTAATATAATGATTAAAATATAAATGATTAAAAGGTAAGTTAAAACCAGCCTTTCAAGTTGCTGTATTCACTATGGTATGTCAGTAATAAAGCAGGCACAATTATGCTTATTGCCTTCAAAAGCCAACTTAAAATATTTTTTAAGAACTACTGGATTTTAATAATAACTTGGCATTTTTTTTGCATTGAAGCAGGTTTGTCTATGTATTACTTACATTGTATGAATGCATTCAGTGTTCATTTATTAACTTTTCTTTAACCAAGGCAAAAAAAAAGTTGATTTTGCATATTCAATGACACTATGAAAGCGTTATAATAGTTGAATTCAATAATAATAAGGATTTATGTGTCTTTTCCTGCTATTCCACTATCTAGATATAGGCTATGTTCATTTTTCAAAGCCGCAACACGGCTTGTTAGTTTTGGCTTATAATAATGTCTACTCCACCGCACACACATTGTGGCTCAGTGTTACAGGTAACCGCAACTCCTGATATACGAGAGTTTGGCTTTAACAGTATTGCTTTTAGTATAATTTTTCAGCAACATGGAAAATAATGGTGGCAGGTGTAGAATAAGACATTCAGAGTGTGTGATCAGGCGATTAATAAGGTAATACTAGAAATAGCCTGTGTGAATGATAAATACAATGTATAAATGGATGCATGAATAATCTAGCTAAATCCAAAGGTGCTGTTTAGTTGGGAGACATCTTTAGCCCTTGGAAAAGGGTACACTAAGCTAAAGCAAGGACATGGTCTCCTGTTTGATTTACTGTTAATGAATGAAAAAAACTGCTGTAGAATTGATGTAGCATAAGCTTTATGAAAGCTTCTATAAATGAATGAATGAATGTACAAAGAGGATTGTGAAATTGAACTGTTACATTTGTGGTTTTTCCACATTCATTCCGTGACTGAAAACCTGATGAAAGCTGCAGCGTCCTAAGGCATGGAAAAAAAATGTAGACAATAGCTTATTTTTAAGATTTTATGCTTCAAGTAACACAAACCTTAGTATTTTTATAGGGGGGGGAAAAAGAGCTAGCACACAGCTTTCTCTCTTGCATACAGTACATGCAATTCTAGTTCCAGAAGGGTTAAGTATATGAGAGTTGATGCAGTCCCTCCCTCTTTTTGCCAGACCGTTGTTCCATAGCAACAGTGAGATCACTGAAGACAGTATTTCATTGATTTTTTCCCCCTTTCCCCTTTGCTTTCTCTTTAAGCTGTCATTTCCACCTATCCATGTCTGGGAGAGTAGACATTTTTTATATTTTAATATTTGACCTACGTAGGACATTCCTTTTGGCTTTTCTTTCTCAAACAACGAAATCAGTCTTATAAAAATTACATGTTTAACTATGCATTTAAAAAGAGAGACTGGTTTAGGGGGTTGGATAACTGTGCCTGGCGTAACGGATGTTCTTAAATATTCCTGCCTTATTTGTTGGTCTTCTAGGGAAAAGAACAATGTGGAGCAAGACCTGAAGGAAAAAGGAGAGACAATCAACCAGAGGGCAAACGAGGTCCAGGTAATTGTCATTTGAATTTTCAGATTTGGTTGATATAAATAGAGGTTATTGAAAAAAAATGTCTTTCAGTGAATGGATTAGCCTTTTAGCAGGTATGTTATTAGGATTTGTTCTCATTGTGATCAATATATTTGTTAGCTTAGGGATTGAAATTGACATGGTTAATTACATGAATGTCTATATTACTTGGGAAATAGGCTGAGGGGGGAAATGCAGCATTTTTGTTAGATGCCAATTTTTGGCAATGATGTTAGAATGCAAGCACGGTGGCTATGAATAACAGCTTCAGGTTTTTGCGTGATAGGAACAAGGATTTGCATCTGGATTTTAGATTTTCCTTTAAGTTGAAAATCTCTCTCAGTGCTTAAATGTAAATCCAGATGAGATTTATGCATGCATAAATGAATCATGCATCCTAAGCTTTTACAGAATCATTTGATCCCTATTGTAACAGAAACAAATACAGAGCAAAATGCAGCCTGTTATTAAAGACTGCATAATAGTTCTTTTGGATGGAGCCTTTTTAATTTATTCTTAACCAGTATTTTGTTGCTTATGCTGCCGTTTGCTGATCACGCAAAATTAAGCAGCAACTTATATAACGCTATTTAGTTAGTTAACGGTTTTGCTACAGGTGTTGATATATCTTAAGATTTCATATAATGCTAGCAAAATAATTCCCATGTATGATTTTTATTATTTCTTTCAGTGGATGACTTAGTTCTGTTCAATAATGATTTCTAAAATATTTGCCCTAGGACACCAAAGAAGTGACTACAGAGCCCAGAATTTATTTGGCTCTGGAAATTTCTCTCTCTCTCTCTCGCTCTCTCTCTCGCTCTCTCTCTCGCTCTCTCTCTCTCCCTCCCTCCCTCCCTCATGGAAAATGAATTTTAAAATTTAGAAGAAAGGCTTCAACAGAGAAATAAATGAATGGTTTCTCTTGAATGTTCTCTATTATATATTGATGAACAGCTTGTTTTTGTACAATTATTTCTGTAGTTAGATTAATATTAGATTAAGATTACAAGAAATATTACATTTCTTGCAATCATTCCAAGAAATAATCCAGGCAACATAAGCGGTTTGCTTTATATGCATTTCTGGGAAGACATTGACACTTTACAAGATATGATTTTTAAAAATTTATTATAATACATTTTTGTCATGTCTTTATACCCAAGGACTTTAGCCAGGAGTGAAATGTTCAGTATCCTCACTATAAAATAGGAATGTTTACAAAATGACAATATAGCAGAACCCAAGTGTTCTACCAGAATAATCAAGTTAGTTGTGATTAAAATAATTAAAATAAAAATGGCTGAAACTTTTATTCTAATTTCAGAACAGCCCACTCTGAAGTTGAAATGGCCCGTGTTTTGTTTTCTGTGACTAGAAAGCTTTGATCTGCTCTGAAATTAGCATTTTATTCCCATAATAAAACAAATTGTCAAAGCAAGTCTTGCTTCCAGTTAAAAACATTTCACATTCAAATTGATATGAAATACCACAAGTTTAATCAAGTTTAATTCTGTTAGTGATATTGAAAGTTGTGGTCAAGAAGCAATCGAAATTGTGTGAACCTTTTTACTGTTGATAAATTTTGAAATGTATTGTATTTCATTGATAGATGCTTATATACTGCAATATCTTAGCAATGTCTTTGGATACAGATTTTAGGTAGCACTGGATGAATTGCAGTCATCCTGTTTCTGGGCCACTCTTATGAATAATACCGAGCAATAGCCAACAGACATCAGTTTGGGAAACATTTTATTCTCTACCTTTAGTTTCCTATCCGCTATTTCCACCCACTGAATTGCACTACATTTGTTACTAAAAGACAAATTTTCTCAGTAGTTTTGGTCAAGTATTGTTTTTCTTCCATTTATCCAACTCATTCCTTTCTCATACCCTTCCAACCTCTATTTTGATTTACCTTTGTCCTTTTCTGTGTGTATCCTATAAATTTCATATGGCCTTGTTCATGATAATCCTTGCAAAGTATGTGTGCTGAGACTGTTTTCTTATTTTCCAATTTTTCAAATACATACCTACCTGTTCACATCCTGTCCCCTTCGTCTTACATCACAAAGTTAAAATCATTATCATATACAATCATTACAACATCATATTTTAAGAAGAAATGCAAGCCTGTATTTTTCACTTTTCAGGATCTTCAAGATGAAGTAAGGAGGGAGAGCAATAACTTGCAGAACCTTTTGACTCAGAAGCAGGAGGCAGAAGAAATCCTGAATGGGCTAGATGAGGAGAAAGCCAAGTTGGAAGAGCAGCTTAGTATGATACGGCAGAAATGTACAGAAGAAGTTGATCTAGTGAGTATTTTTACCTCAGCTGTAGAAAGCTGCATTTTCTGCATTGTTTCACTGGGACTGTTGTATACATGTTGTATATACTTGGGGATTCCTTGTATAAAGAGATTGGCGTGGAAATAAATTATTAAAAATGAATCCCCCCTCGACATCATTGTTGATTTCATTGCTATGGGAATTGTTGGACTATTGTTAGTACTCTGTTGTGCTACATGGTTTAGAGCAGACATGTCCAAAGTCCGGCCCGCGGGCCATTTGCGGCCCGCGGCCCGGTTTAATCCGGCCCTCGAGCAGCCCTCCCTGCTCTATATAAATGCGGTCCTCCCACGGCCCTCCGGCAAGTCCCATGAGAGAGAGAGAGAGAGAGAGAGAGAGAGAGAGAGAGAGAGAGAGAGAGAGAGACAGAGGCACTTGCACTTCTGTCTCTCTCTCTCTCTCTCTCATGGGACTTGCCCCCTCGCAGGGCTCCTCATTGGCCCTGCGCCCTGTTACCCCGCCACCATTGCCCTGTGGTTATAAGTGTCCCGGCAGTTGGGACCCGCCCCTCCCGGAAGTCAATAAATCCTTGGCGGTTCTCCGTCCGGCCGCGGCTTTCCCCGGCCGGCT